AAAGTAATTAATTCTAAATAATTTTTCATATTTTTTTATAATAATAATTAAATCAAATAATAAAGTAAAAGATATCGAAATCTTTTACTTTTTGCATTTATATTATATATATAACAACATAAGTATACATATTTTATGTCTCTTTTTTTTTTTTTTCTTAAATACGGCCTATTGAACCATTAAGATAAGCCAGTCTGGGCACATATTTGTTGTCTTTTCTAAATTATTTGGAGTATTTTCCTACAATCCAACTCTGAAACCTAACAAACTTTGGGCTGAAAGGAATATCTTTGGCGGCACACTGGCAATAGTTATTGCGTGGACTGTGGTCCACACAGCTGTGTCGACATCGTTTTATCTTTTATGTTTTTTTTTGTTACGCAACTCGTTGCAACATACATTTTTATAATTCATAATGTACATTATATTACCTCAGAAATTTTAATATTCTAACACGTAATGTACATTATTATAACACATAATGTACATTATTCTAACATATAATGTATATTATTCTTACTCATAATATTCAGCGACGTTGTTTTGGAACGTGATCCACAGAGTTGTGTGGACCGAATTTTCCGCACACTAGGCTAGGATAGGTATTGACAAATTAATATTATAAACCTTTTATTTTTTATTTTTTATTTTTTAATCCTTTTATTAGCCCTAACAGCCAACCTACAATTGATGGGGCTAATCCTTTAATTTGTTTTTGGGTCTATTCATTTGAATGTGAACGCAATTACTTCTTGTGTCTGCTTTAATTTATGACGTCAAAACAATTATTGTGGAGTAGGTTTGCTAAAATTAAATAAGTTTGAGTTTATCGCAATTATATTTAGAGTGGTGCACCAATTAGTTATTCAGTAATTAATGTTGTCGTTGACTTTGCTGTATTAATTGTAATACGGAGTATTTTTTTTTTGAAGTGAAAGATTTTTTTTTTTTTTTTTGAAGTGAAAGATTATAGATTGGTGAATCGTTGTAATCAATACCGTTTCATTTCCACTGTTACTATTTTAACATCAATTTGAGACATTACGTAGCATCCGTGTTGTGGAAGGCGCTAGGTGTTAGGCACTAGGTGGGCACCCGGGGTGCTTAACGCCTAGATAGTCGCGTAATTCGAGTATATTGTCTCCATTTTTTTTTTTTATTCAGGGCTGTGAGTTGTTAAACTATTATAATCCCACAAACAAGTCAATTATATATGTTAGATGGTTAGTTGAATACATGGTTAGAGGAATATAGAAGAAGAGCAACTGAGCAGGCAAAAAATACTATTCGGTCGAGTTTGGCGCAGATTAAGCCTTGTTGGGCGCCCAACTCGACACCTAGTTAGTTAGTCAACTAAAAACCGCCTAGGGCTAAAATCGCCTTAGTCTAAAGACGCTTAGGCTGATTTTTACAACACTGCCTAGCATTTCACCCTCAAAATCTATTTAAAATTGAAACAGAATCTCTTTTCATTATTTTAAATTTGAAGAGAGATTTTTGTGACTATTGAAGTGATTTAATCTTGTTTATTTATTTATTTATATATTATTTTACATGATATTAATTTATGTTACAGATCACGGAAGAAAACGTGGGGGATAGGGCTGTCCTAACTGCTCCAATAGCGTTGGGCGATGAATATGATTCGGAGTATAGGGCTCCAAATATGCTCCAGGTCATTCTAAGTCTTTTGAAGAATGTCCGCCCAGGAGCTGATCTCACCCGAATCCCGGCAAGTTATTATTATTTTTTCCTTGTTATTGTTGTATGTTGTTGTGTGTGTGGTGGGGGAGGAATAAAAGGTTGGGAAAAATCATTTCAACTAAAATACTTTCAGAGATCGTAATTTATGACAAGACTTGATAATACTTAGTGCATTATGTTGAAATTTTAACTAATTAATCTTAAAAATTTTTAAAAGTGTTAAATAAGACACTTAATTTTGTTGCTTTTATGTAATTGTGCCACTAGACTTAAAACGTATGCAATTGAATCATTAAACAAACAAAATATGTGTAATTGACACTTTTCTAATTTCTTCCTATGCGATTTGAGTTGAAAACATTCAATCTTTTCTCCTATCTAGCGCGACGGATGAAAAGAAATTAAAACTTTTAGTACATACCATGTAACTGATGTAAGCAATAATGTGGTTAGATTCTATATGGAGAAATTAGAAAAGTATCTTAATTAAACATATTTTGCTTGTTTGACGACTCAATTGCACACGTTTTAAGTTCAATAATCAAATTACACAAAAACAATTAAGTGTAATAGCTTATTTGACGCTTCTTTCAAAAAAATTTAGAGTTACAAACAGCAGTAGTTTCAAATCTCAATCTCATTCTAATTTTAAAGATTAAATTATTTACACACATATTTAAACTTGTTTTCAAAGATTTATCTTAAGTAAATATAGATATGGATTACACGACTAATAAATATGCTGAAATGTTATGTGTAAAATGATAGAAAGAGAAACTTTTTATTTGTTCGAGTATGACATAATTAATCTACTTTATAATATATATTTTTTTCACTTAAAAGAAAATTCACTATGTAATTATATCTCCTACGATTCACAAGGTGAACTAATTTATGCTTTGAAGTCAATCACAAATAAAATTATTAGCTTTTCATAAGTTTTGTCACACTTGCTATTCACAATATCTTTCTACTTCTCCAAGTAGAGTTTCTTATTGAACACAACCAAAGGTTGTTTTGGTTGTTCAATTGTTGACTCTAAGTCTTGATGTAACTTTGAAGCTTGATTGAATCTTAGAGCTTGAATATAATATTGCTTGATATTTCTCGAAATAACACTTTTAAAATTCTCTCGCAACATGTTATTTGAATGTTGTTAGCACTTAGTACTTTCTAAATTTTTAGCTACTTTTTTAATTTTTTAACTACTTTTCTTTGAAAATTTTCAACTCTGTTTATGTTGGATATTCACTATTGAATATTTAATTTTGTTCACAATTATTCTGTCTAGTCAATATTCATGATTCATATATCGGATCATTAGGTTTAATTTACTGGTGACGTGAACTATACAAACTGGTCAATCTTATCATCATGGCATTAATTTCTTCATATATTCTGTCATTTTCTTTTCTTAAATTTAGGATATGAGCTTCCAATTACGTGGACATATCTTTTTCACTTATTGTTGACTCAATCCATGTCTAGTAGGTGGGACTGTGGGAGTTGAGGAGTAGTTGAGACTATTTAATTTGGAATTTCCCAATTTTTTTAATAATAAATATTAAGTATTTTGTAGTACAGTAGCTTATGAAGGCACATTTAGTTACCATTTAATAATATCATTATATCAAGGCACATTTAGTTACCAAAAAAAAAAAAAAAAAAAAAACCAAAAAAAAAAACAAAAACAAAAACTTTTCATTTTTCATCTCTAGTATTTAAAAGATATTCAATTTATTTTTTTGTTAAAAAATAAAAAAATACATTTAGATTCAAATTTGTAGTATAAAATAATTTGAAACCAAATTATATATTTGCATATAAAAATATAAAAATGGGTAGTAAGTGACAATAATGCTGAAGTGTTGTGGTGAATTAGGTACAATCATTATTCCATGGAGCATGGTCTACACATTTGTGTGAATCATAAATAAAAAAGTATATTTTTAATACATTATTTGACGTATACATAAAATACATTATTTGAAAGTACACGATTTTTTAATATATTATTAAATGATGTATATTTAATACACAAATAATGTATTTTTAGTATATTAAAAATATATATTGCATTCCTCACAGCTATGTGGACCGTCCACAGAATAATTTGACAATTAGGTAGTTTAGGACCCATTTTGGCGCACTAACGTAACGTTTGTGTTGAATGGGCGCAGGTGCCACCATTGTTGAACCTTCCAAAATCACATCTTCAATTGTATGGGGAAACAGTGTACAGCACTAACGTTGATCTGTTAAGCAAGGTTGCCAATGGAGAAACCTCGGTCGACAGATTCATTGCCGCCGTCGCATGGAGCATATCCACCACGCGCCACCTATCTTTTGGAATCTCTCCTTACAATCCCATTCTTGGAGAGACTCACCATGTCTCCAAAGGCTCTCTCAATGTCTTGGTGGAGCAGGTATATATGCATGCATTCCCAAATCCCAACTACTATATGTATATATATATAATTCGGTTCATGTATGTGAGAACTAATCTCGAGCTGAGAAGTCGTCGATCTGCAAAATCTAATGGATAGTATGGATAATTGGAAATCAAGTGAAAGGATAATTAGACTACTTTTAGATCGACGGATGATTAGTTTGCACATTTCCACAAAAGCCTAGTTCTTAATGGAGCTAATATATAGTAACCTTATCATATGTCTATCTAAGATGATCAAGAGTTAAAAATTAAAGAAAAAAATGTGATGAAATTTTGTAATTATGACCCGTATTTGAAAATGTTTGATAATTCAAAAAATTTGACATTGCATTTAAGATCTATAATAGTGTATTCAAGTGTGTATACTATTAGTTATTCATGAATATACTATCAAGTGTTTCCAAATACACCGTCGTAATTACATAAATATTACCGTATTTTTTCCATTTTCCTTTAATTTTCAACTCTTAATCATCATAAATGAACAGATATAATTAGTTCTCACACACACATATATGACTTCAGGTTTCTCATCATCCTCCGGTCAGTGCTCTGTATGCAACCGATGAGAAAGACAACATTCAACTGCTATGGTGCCACAACCACGTCCCAAAGTTCACCGGTATAATTTCTTCCATCCCGAGTTTAATTTGTTTTACCTTAAAATCATTTTCATTCTACTCTTTTCAATTATCAATTACTAATTCAAAAGTCAACAACTACATTTTTTAAAATTAAACAAAAATAGTCCCTCATCAGCTATATTAAAAGTTGTAATGAATAGTTATGCAAATAATCAAAATTTTCATATAAACTAAATTGACACATTCTATACATATAGTTAACAATTTAGTACCTGTAAATAAATTGAAAGCACATAACATGATAACTACAGACACATCAATTGTTAACTGCAGGTACAGAATATGTTAACAGTAGACACATAATATGTTAGTGCAAAATGTGTTTACAGTTAACAATTTATGTGTCTACAGTTATGATGTTATGTATATGTAATTATCATGTGATGTGTCTTTAATTTGTTTACATACACAATATTTGGATCACGATTCACAATGCGATATGAACCCTGGTCCGTGGTATAACAATTGATGTTTTTGTAACTAGGTAAAAAATTCATAATGACACAAAAAGAAATTGATGGTGTGTTGTAGGTACTAAGGTGGACGTTGAAGTGCGTGGGGAGAGAGAATTGAAAATCCTAAACAAGAAGGAAACTTATATAATGAACACACCAAATCTGGTATTTAGGATTCTCCCATTTCCTGGAGTTGAGTGGCAAGGAAATGTTTCAATTCGATGCCAAGAAACAGGCCTCAAAGCTGACATATGTTACAAAGGCACCTCCTTTCTGTCCCGTAAGGATAAAAACAGGTCTCTTGTAGGAAAAATCTTCCGATCATCGTCGTCTTCTTCTTCTTCTTCCTTCGAGGCCATTTATGAGATCTCTGGAAATTGGGATAGGTATATATTCGTCACAGTTTGTTAGTTTAGATTTCGAGCTTTTATGAATTAAATATTTACTTGAGAAAATGCACAGAACTGTAGCGATTAAGGACACAAGAAATGGGGAAGTGAAGGTGATTTACAACGCAAAACAGGCATTCTCTGGATTGAAGACTCCGGTTGTCAAGCTTCCAAAGGTATGCCTAAGCTATAAAGCCTCAATCGTTATGCTGTGCATCCGTATGCATACGGATGTCAAAACGACGTCGTTTTATTAAAAAAAGCGCGTTTCCCCTTTAAAAAAAAAAATTCAGGTTCGATTCTCAGCAACAACATTATATTGTTCATTCATTCTGGAATTTTAGTTCATAGATTATGGAATTATAGTTCATTGATTATGGAATTATAGTTCATCGATTATGGAATTGTAGTTCATCGATTCTGAAATTTTAGTTTATAGATTATGGAATTTTAGTTCATTCATTCTGGAATTTTTAGTTCATAGATTAGATTATGGAATTATAGTTCATCGATTATGGAATTTTAGTTCATATGTTGTTGCTGGGAATCGAATCTGATTTTTTTTTTAAGGGGAGACGCGCGTTTTATTAAAACGACGTCGTTTTTGCATCCGTATGCACCATGCATGGTGCATACGGATGCACAACATAATTTGCCATAAAGCCTCTTCATGGGATCACAACATTATCAATTGTTATACCATGGACCAGGCCCACTTTGTATTATAAACCAGGATCCAAAAATTACATGGCAATAGTTAATATATTATATATCTTTAGTTAATAAATTATGTGTCTATAAATAAATTGAAGGGAAATAATTTGTTAGGGTGCTTATTAGGTAGACCATGCATATGATACATTATTTCTATGCATAAGGTACATTATTTTATATACATATGGTACATACATTAATTTTTTGTATGTATAGTGATGGATACATACCCTGGTAGGGTACTTAGTCGGGTGTGCCCCTAGGCGGTTAGGAAGTCGTAAAATCAACAAAAATGGTATATTATTTTTTATATGTAATATCATTTTTGAATGTGTACAAAATAGTATGAAAACAACTTGAGGGCTCATTATTTATATGCATAAGATTCATTATTTGTGTGCATAAGGTTCATTATTTGAACATATACAAATTGATTGAAGGTTGCTTATTTAGGCCGGCATTTATATTCTAGGCTCATTTATGTTGTACATAAGATTCATTATTTGTGGAACATAGCTAGACTTATTTGTCTGTAGCTGGAGTTTTTCAAATTAAATAGGCTCATTTATGTTGTACATAAAGTCCATTATCTGTTAACTGCAAATACATAATCTGAACATTATTTTCGATCAGTGTCCAACTGTCCACAATGTAAAATGGATCCAGATGTATGATATAATTTGGCCAACATTATTATCTCATAACATACCCAAATATTATATTATGTTATATTATTTTGCTTGAATTTAGGAGGTGGTGGCAAGTGAATCAGGTGTGGTTTGGGCAGAGGTGAATAAAGGCATCCTGAAGAAGCAATGGGATAAAGCAAAGGAAGCCAAAAGCAGCATTGAAGAGAGGCAGAGAGAGCTGGAAAGAGAGAGGGTGTCCAAGGGGGAGACTTGGATTCCTAAGCACTTCAAAGTATCTTACAACAAGGAGAATGGGTGGCAAGCATTGCCATGTCACAAGTTGGTCCCACCTGCTCCAATTGTTGTTCCAACTTCTTGATCCACTATTTTCATTGCTCCATCATCACAAGTACTACCATACACACCCCACAAAATATGGGTTACATACCATCACAAACCATGCACCTTATAACCATTATTATTGTTGTTATAACTTTGTATTTTTATTTACTACTTGCAAATAATTTTATCATTGCACACCATGAATTAATAAGATAAAATTATTGTAAGCAATACAAATATAATGGTACGGTGTTGGATATTCACCTCCAATTAAAGAAAAGTATAAGTTCAGTTAAATATTATCATATCAAGATAATTGCACTGCATGAGTTGGAACCTTGCAAGGTGAATCTAATTATTTATTGTTTCGACTTAAATTTATTTTTTCTTTTATACAAATAAATTAATATACAAAAAAAAAAATTAAGAAGACATAAATAAGATCTTTTAAATGAAACTCATATTGATATTATTATTTTAATATTTTAATTAAATTAACATTCAATTATATTAAGTCACTATATTAGGTTAATTTTAAATACAGTACTTGTTCATTTTTGAAATACTATAAGTTCATTTTTACAATACTAACGCAAATACATCATTATACTGATAAACATTAAATAATTAAGTTCATTAATCAAACACAACATGTTCATTTTCACAATACTACAAGTTTATTTTCAAAATACCACATGTTCATTTTCATAATTGTAATGCAACTACATTATAATGATGGATCTCAAATATATTTATTACTGAAACATTGCTGGTTTATTTTCAAAATATTGGTGGTTCATTTTTATAATATTGAATGTTTATTTTTACATAATAATGCAACTACATCATAAAACTGATGAATCTAAAACATGTTCATTAAAAGAATATTGGAGGTTCATTTTCACAATGCAAAATGTTTATTTAATCAATATTGCAAATACACCAATAAACATTTAAAATTCAAAATATATTAATATGAGTATCATTCAAAAGACTTGAATGATATATTTTTAATAAAATATTTTGTAAGATTATATTGATTTTATTTATTCAAAAAATAAAGAATAATATGAGTATCATTCAAAAGATCTCAATGCTCCTCCCCCTTCGCCCGATCGCCAGGCTATCCGCCAGTAGCCGGACAACGCGCACCTAGTATGGCCTGCCGTAATGGACTGTTTTCTTGTCGACGAGGGGATGTGAGAAGGTGGCGTAGGAGAGGGGGATGCGATGGAGGGGTGAGGAGGATGTACGACAGAGAAGTGAAGGGGAGCATATACAGGTGGCAACGTACGGGTAGCGGGGTTTCGAGGACCTTAAACCATCGCCAACTCTCTTCCTATTCTCTTTAACTTCTCTCTTGGTCAACGGAGCAATATGTCATTGACATCCGCAAGTCGCCTGGTAAGTAGCAGTAGACGGTAGTCCAACAGTCTGTTGGTAGGAGTTATCGAGCGGGGCTCCTTGGGTTTGATTTGTTTCTCTGTCTATTTACATATGTTTTACCTTGTTTACGTTATTAAAAGGATTTTGGATCATATTAATCCAACATTATTTCCATACATATTCCTTGATATTAACATGATTTTATGATGGGTCTGGTCCATATATTAAAACCCATCAAGTAGTTTTTAAACTAGAAAAGTAGTAATTATTTTGAGACAAACTATTTATTAACCTAATTAAGAAATTATTCAAAATGTATTTTTTTGTTTAAAAAAAAAAAAAAAAGAGGAAGAATGAGAGAAAGAAGAGATCAAAAATAAAAAATAAATACCTAATGCACACAATGGAATAGTGACTGCAAGTTTCTCTCTGTCACCTAAAAAATAACAATTTTTTGTACATGTTTATTTAAGGTGATTTTTATTACTACTACTACTATTCTTTTTCTCTTCCTCTTCTTCAATTATTATTATTATTATTATTATTATTATTATTATTATTATTATTATTATTATTATTACTTCAATTATTATTATTATTACTATTATTATTATTATTATTGTAATATAACAAATAACATGTTTATTTTTAAAAGAAAAAAAATAAACAGAAAAATACAACTTTTAACTTTCAGCCAAATAAAAAAATATAGCTTTTTAACCTTAAGCCAAACATTAAAAAATTAAAATATTATCCAAAAAAATGAGTCGTTTTCTGGAAATAATTTTGATGAAAACATTTTTCAAGTTTCCAAAGAGATCCTTAGTGTAAAATATTTATATTGATTCAATTTTATATATTTCACTGTGATTTGTTTGCACAAAATTAACAAATAACAAGCTTAAGATGTAGTAAAATAAAAATTTTAAACAATTCTACACTAAGACACTAGAAAAGTACATTATTGAGTTTGAATTGAAAAAAAAAAAAAAAAAAAAAAAAAACCTCAAATAACAAAGTTAATGAAATAAATAATTGAACCAATCCCATCATTGAAGATTTGTATCAAGTAGGGGCTCTAGTAATTTATACTCGTATTTCGAACTTGTGACAACTCCAAAAGACTAACTACAAAGCTACAAGTAATAAGAATATTTCATATATTATCTAAAACATCAAACAAAGGTAATATTCCTAATTATGTTCCTAATTTAGAATCAATTCACACTAATAAAGTTTCTACCAACTAATGTTATGGCGTATCAAACTGGTAGCGTGGCTATGATCCTCGGTGGAGATTTTACCCTTAGATTCGGCATATGGAGTCTAATTAAGTGAAGAAACAGAGGCAATTTGATTTGTATCAAATATATAAGTTGTGTAGACATAAAAGCTGATATGCAAAATTGCAAATTACAACCAAATTATTTTATAAATAAATATATATACATGTTAAAGTTGGAAAATGAAACAGTTGCCCGTGTATCACAAAACTCTAATTTAGCACACCATTTTCTAATATCACATTGGCCCTTGCTTTTAGATGTGTAAACACACAAATGCGCAGATTACATAACTTCTCAAAACGCGTATTCACATATATTTTGCAAATCAAAAGCGACTCAAAAGTTAATTAAGCCAGCTTGGCTGCTCTGTTATTCTCCCTTCTCCCAAAATTATGTCCTCAACCTAAAAAAAACTCTTCAAGCCCCGACACAACAGAACATACGAAAAGATGTAAATCACTATAATTCAATGACTCAGCAGATCGAGCCAAATATACACACAAGGAATCTATTTACTTTGGGCTTAATCCCCATACTATGGCTGCTGAGTTTCGAACCTGGATAATTTCTTTACTAAACCAGTGAGTTAAGCCCGTGCAGGCTAGACTGCAATGTTCTACTCAGCTCTTCCCTGCAAATCCGATTCACTTCTCCGGTTGAATGATCTCTCTCTAATGGTCTCCAAAATGGGCTTCCAAATCCTGGATTTGGTGGATCCCTGCGCCCCAAAGTCATCGGCCTCCACACCAATCACATCTCGCCCTGATAACCTGCCAGGACTACCCCAAACTGGGCTACTTCCAGCGCCGAGATTCACCGCCGCCCAGTTTTGGTGTCGCCCGGAATTCCGGCCACCGCCGGAGCGCGCATTCCTGGCGATTGCGTTAAGCTTCTTGGCAATCGGTGCCAAGTCGACGGTGGAGGCGCCGGCGTGGAAGGTGGAATGGGGCAAGAGGAAGTAGATTTGGCCCCGTTCTAACATGATGGAATTCTTGAGAGGCTTGGAGCCATGGGACAAGAACTGGGCAGGCGTGAACACTAAATGCTTGTTTGAGTTGCCAATCACTTCGCTTACGCTCACCGGGTAATCGTAATCCTCTACGTGGCCGTTCAAGTGCACCACTCTTATGATCTTCAACTTTTGTGGTTTCTTGAAACTAAAACAATTCATTCTTGAAAGCAACATAGTTAGCTGCTGGCTAGCTAGCTAGCTAATACCCACCCTTTTTTGCGATGATTATTCAAGCACTAAAACAGTATCTTTTTTCTTTGGTTCCCACCCACACTTTCTTATTCAGCAACAATTTTCCTGGAAGACGTCTCTATTTATATAAGAGTGGGGTATTCCGTGTATCGATGTAGTTGGCCAAACTATTTGAATCAAAAATTAAAAAAAAAAAAATTTAAAAAAATAAAAAACCTTTGCACAGGACTTAACATAGTGGTTCGTTATCTAACTCGAGGGTTGAAGACGGCAGTGACCCAGTATAATGAAATGTGTTGATTGGATCTCTTGTTCGCGCATAACGACTAGGGTCTATGACCCAGGATAATGGAAGGTGTGGAGTGGATTCCTTGTACGGGCATGAAGACTAGGGTCTCTGTGGATTGGATCGCTTATATATGAACAAGTTATATATGAAGACTAGGGTATGTGATCTAGGATAATGGAAGGAGTGGATTGAATTCCTTGTGTGTGCATGAAGACTAGACTTTGATCAGTGGGCTAATTGCACGACTTGCAATTTACTTCTGCAGTAGCTCTGGGAGTCTAGGGGTGGGTCTTATGAGTTTAAGACCCAAAAATGCTAGAAGGTTTGAATTGAATTCTTTGTGGGCATATGAAGACTAAGATTTGACCAATGGGCTGATTGTGTTACTCACAATTTATCTTTGTAGTGACTCTAGCAGTGGGGTCTTATGGGCTTATGATTAGTTTGGCGAAGCTGAGATTATTTAAGTTTAAAATAATAATAATAATAATAATAATAATAATAATAAAACAAGTCTTCCATTATCTTTACAATTCTCCGCAAGACTCCAAGATATCACTGTCTGGTAGGTTTCCAGCAGTGACCCAAACTGCTACTTTGAACAAGTCATAGCCGCGCTAGTTGGGGGTCAAGAGAAGTGTGATAAGAGGTGATTACTGTGATGCGTGTTTTGTGCGTTGTAATGATAGTTGATTTAGTAAAATATTTAAAGCATAGTTATACATTTCATATGAATTGGGCTTTTGAGAATATTTAATTCTTTTTTTTTTGAGGAATTTTGAGAATATTTAATTCAAATGTGATGATATTTAATTTTTGTGAGTTTATTGTTTTATACGGAATATTTTATACAAATTTATTATAAACATGAACATTAAATTCATACATATATATGGATAGTTTTATTTTAGGCTCCGAGTCAATGCGCACAAGGGAACCAATTGAGATTTTCTAGCATCTTTGAGTGCTTTTCTTATACATGCTTCCAGTGAAATTCAAAACCTCA